TGATAATTGGTACAAGCATAACACTCAAAACTCACACCGTCTTCAACCACATTGTGCCTTAGGGCCAACAAAACTTCAATCCGGCACTGGGTAGGACTCTAACCATGGCTTATTAGTTCAGAAGCTCTATGCGCTATCCACTTGGATAGCGCGCCGCACTATTCCAAGATTTCATCAGTCACAAAGTATCCCTGTCCTATAGTGAACAAACTGTTGAAACTGCTTATCAGGACTTTTATAAACATTATCAGGAATTTTATAAACAACAAAACAATAATCATCCAGAGTACAAACAAAAATTATTATGCTGCATAACTGATCTGAATAATAAGCATTTTTAAAGAACTGCTACCATAATTTGATTTACTAGATTATACAGCAGAAAACCATATCTTATGGTTTATAATTAACTGTTCAACTGCTGTTAATAATTCTGAATTTTAATATTGAATGTAAAAATATTGAAGAGTATTTGACTAAAACAGTATATTAAGCTATTTTGAATATCTTACGGAGAAAATCAAAGCCCATGTCTTACAATTTAATCAGATGCTATTTGATGGTAATATAAAGTAAAAATTAGGGTTTATATAATTATTTTTTCACTTCATTTTGAAAGTCAATGTATTTTTCACTATGATCGGTTGAAATTTGGACGATTTTAAATTGAGTTTACTCAAAAACCACTTAATCAATTGTTATGATTTTTTTTATAATGATGCTAGCATATATGCTAGTTAAGCATAACTAGTTTTCTTGTGTGTGAGTGTAGTTTTGTTTACTTCTCATTAGTTTTTGCAATGTTGAGTAAAGAGTCAGAAAATCAAAAAAAAATTACATAGAATTTTACATAGAAAATCCATCGTTCTCATATTCCATGATTTCAAAAGCAGGTAAAATACCAAAATCAACTGTTGGAATTATTATCAAATTTTATAAGGAAAGCTCAATAGTCGATTTAATTTGTCAAAATCCGACTCAGTCACAACAAGATTAAGCTACGAAATTTAAATGCAATAAAACTTTTGTTCGAAGAGTATTCAAAAAAGAAAATCTGAAAGAATACAAGAAAAAAATACCAAAAAAGTTGCTTGGTGGAGAAATCAAGGCAATTGGATTAGCTGAAAATTTGCTTAAATTGATTACAAAAAAAAATTTATGCATTTTAGAAGAGGATGAAACTTACTGTAAAAAAGATCACTCTGTGCTTCCAGGTAATTATACTATTAAAACATAACAAATCAATCTTTAACACCAGATCTATATGAGTGAATGCTTAAAAAAAAAACATATTTCTCTAGATAAAAAGCACAAACAAACGACTTCTTCCTCTAATTAAAAAGCAAAAATAATCAACCTTATTTGGGTCAGATCTGACATCAATCCACTATTCCAAAAAAGTAATTCAGTGGTATAAAAAAAAAGAGTCAACTTTGTTCCAAAGTAAGATTCGATAACTCGCGAGTTATCGAATCTTACTGGGAAATTGTGAAGAGAATATTGAGGAAAAGAGGCAAATGTTCAAAATTTCTGAGATTTACGGATTAATGCTACAAAAAAAGTGGCTCAAATTAAAATTGTGGAGATGATGGCTGGTACTTTACAAAAAATTAAATTACTTGCACATTGTTAAGTTAAGGCTATATTTATTTTTATTGAAATAAAAATTAGTTATGTAAGCATTATTGTAAAAAGAAAATCATTACAATTGGTTAAGTTATCTTTGAGAAAACTCAATTTAAAATCGTCCAAATTTCAACAGATCATAGTGATAAGAAGGTTTCAAGGGACAACAAAAATTCTTTTAAGAGAAGCATTTTTTTTTGTTTTACCAATCGATTGTCATTTTTGGCAGGTTTTACAATTTTTAGCACCTATTTTTGCATCATGGTACATGTAACAATAAAAAAATTATAATAAAAATTGTTGATATTATAGTAGAACACTTAAACAACATTTATTTTAAAAATATCGAATATCACAGTAACATTTTGAGGTATAAGAAGCAAAAAACTAAATATAGAAAAATAAATAAATCCTTAATAAGTAACTAACAAAATACTACCAGTAAACCAATCTGACTGAAGTTTTATTCAGCCAAATTTTACTCAATTTAAATATTCAAATTAAATTTTCTGCCAACAAAATTAAAAGATTTGAAAATTTGCATCACAAGGTATGATGTGTATCCTATCACCCCATACAAGCGCTGTTTTTGAGTCAGCTAGGTTGGCATTATTAGGTTGGCATTATCCATGCTAACCTTGTTTAAATGATGTCTTATAAAGAGTTTTTTTTTTATAATTAAATAAAAAACTTCTTGTATGGATATAACTCCATTGTTAATTTGCCAAAATAATATTTCAAAGGAGTTAAGATTGATAACCCTTGTTATTAAGTATAAATATACTTGTTAACGTTATCAAGTATAAATATATTTTATAATGAGAGATCTTAACTTCCTTGATATGTTGTATTAAAAAATTAATAACAGAGTTATATCTATAGAAGTAGTTTTTTTATTTAGTTAATTATGACAAGTATTTATGCTTGTAATTATACTCGAAGTACTTATACTTGAAGCATATATATAGCAATATAGCTCTTATAATGCTATATTTACGCTATATTTATATTTAGCTATATTTACGCTATATTTATATTGTAATGCCTTTGTTTATACATGTTTTATTTTGCAAAAAATAATAATTTAGAATATGTGTATATATAGAGTTAAATGGGGGCAAATGGAATAGTTGTAGTATGGAATAGTAATATATAAAAAATTTGTGAAGCAATGTTATCAAGATATGTTTAACGTTGTTAAAAATGAAAATCTAAAAAATTTTTTGAAGACAATTAGTTTTAAAATGGAATAGTAATATATAAAAAACGGATTTTAATTATTAATTTTTTACGAAAAAAAGATTTTTCCTTTTTATTTTTTAAAGTTGTAGAGAGTATTGAGCTGTATTTAAATATATAAAATTTTAACAATTTTTTTGTAAAGTTTTTTATGAAACTTTATTTGATTAAAAAAATTTTTATTCCATTCTACACTGACATTCGGGGAGAATGAAATACGCAAATATAAGTGTAGTCAAAACAACACTTAATTAAAAAAACAAAAAAGCAATCAATAACAACAATTAAAAAAACAATCAATAATAACAATTAAAAAAATCAATCAAATAAAATAAACTTTTTAATTCTTGTGATGATGTTGAGCCGTTTAGAGGTACTATAGGTTGAGTTGAGTTTTCACTTGTGCGGCACTTTTTGTAGCAATAAAACTCAGCGCCTTTTATGTATCACTTTGGTATGCATATTTGACATGCATTATTTGGTATGCATATTTGGTATGCATGTTTGGTATGCATGTTTGACATGCATACCAAACCTTGCAATTTGAATTTTCACATGGGTATCATTCCATAATTTGACTTGCTGAAGTTTCGCGCAAAACTTTTCGGCACTTTTTACACTTGAATTGGTTTGTAGCTAATATTTTCTTTGGACTTGTTGCTCGGTTTATTTGCTGTTCTCCATTAGAGCTAAGCTTAGGTTGTTTTTTAGCTTGCTTGGCTGCTTTTTTGCTCTCAGTATCTTTCAACCTTTCAAGTATTTCAGGTTTGTTGAGACACTCCCTTTCGAATCTTGGCGCATCTACATTTTTTCTTTTTTTTTGTGTCAACGTGTTGGAAACGAAACATTTGTTGCAAAGCTGATCCAAGTGATTGGGCTGATTGCAGTTGTTTTGCAACCTCTTTTTGAATTTCCTTTTGAATAGCCGGATATATACTACAATATTGAAGCTTGTTTGCAGACAAGGTGACTTTTGACAAGGTGACGAATATACTACAATATTGAAGCTTGTTTGCAGACAAGGTGACTTTTGAGAACTTTTAAGAACTTTGGAGCTGATGCTATGTGACATATGTTGATGCTAGATGTTGTTGGTGTAGATTCAGAGGGCAGTGGCTGAGGTAGTGTAGTTCCTGGTGCTAGATTTGGTGATGGCACTATCATAGATTCTGGTTGTTGAAATTATGATGGCTCAGGTTCAAATCTCGGTGTTTCAAATGTATTAGAAATTTGCAACTTTGACTGATCGATTTTATCGATGATGAGTAGAAACAAGCCAGTATTCTGAAACCCAGTTTTATAAAAGCAGTAAGTAAAAGTCATTTAAATTCAGTTAGAAAAATTCGTTCATTGAAATTTATACAAAAAATTTATAGTTAGAGATTTATTGGTCACTTGAGACCTAATCAAAAAAGCCGCTTTTAAGAAATAAGCTATTGCTTTGTATTTATTTATTGCATATTTCATTCAACACCGCATCACTCAGTTTTCGCTTTTAACTCATAACTTTTTTTCCTAAATAGCAAATTTAATTTTGAAAAAAGATTCTTGATCAGCGTAAAAAGTATCAGTAAACATTTTAAGTTCAATGATACCGAATTTAATTTCCGAGAGTTTTAAGTCCCCTTTTCAAAGAAATAAAAAAAATCTTATTATGCATTCGAAAATTATAAATTTATAACAAAATTTTTTTAATTAAAAATAAAATTCTATACAATCTTACTCAGAAAAATATTCTCTACAATATAATCAAAAAATATTTACAAAAAAATCATTCAAAAGTTAATTAAATAATCTATATATATATATATATATATATATATATATATATATATATATATATATATATATATATATATATATATATATATATATATATATATATATGAAATACTTATACATATATATATATATATATATATATATATATATATATATATATATATATATATATACTCATATGCATATAAACATATATTTACATATATTTATATGGACAGAGCCGTGGTTAGGCTACCCCACACACACCAATGGGGAGGGAGGGTGCTAGCAAATTTAAGGGGCCCATTTGCATATTTTTGCCCTTTTACAAACTTAAGGACATTACCAGATTTATTAAATCAACAGTGACATACTTCTATGCACGCACTTTTTGTTCCAGGTACACTGTTTTCAGATATATATGCATCAAAAACTTTAATTCCATAAGGTGGTTCATTAACATTTAAGACATTGAGCTGAAACTGATTAAAAGATGATTCACCATGGACATCCGTAGCTGTTATTGATACCAAAACTTGAGACATTGTTTCATAATTAAGTGGCTTTAGGAGTACTGCAAAATAATTAAAAAATAAGGACTTTCATAATCAAACAACTTATAATAAACATCTTAAATATAAATTTAAACATCTTAAAAGCTAAATATGTTCATTAAATCCTAGGAATATAAATAAACACATAATTCATTTGTAGATGTGGATAGGTAACTAAAACATGTAAAAATCTTATGCGTTAAGTTTTATTAAAACAATCTTTAATTTCATTTTTTAAAATGATATTTAATGTCATTTAAAAAATTATTGATCATTTAAAAAATCAAAATTTCTTATTAAATAGAGTAAAATCGGGTCAAACCGCACACTTATCAATAAAAATTAATAAACTTTTTTTTATTTTTTTTATAATTTTTTTTTTTATTAGATAGGTAATAAAAGTCTACATAAGATAATTTGAATATATATGTTAAAAAAATAAAAATAAAATTATCGAAAATATTAAATGTAAAGAAAAAAAAATTGTGCGGTTTTAGGCGACATCCTGATAAAACTTCACACTTGAGAAACATTGAATTTTTTTAAATTTTAACTTTTTTTTTAATTATTTTTTTAAACACAACTTATATTTAAGAAACTACTTTTAAGTTTTTACATTTTTTGCATAAAAAAAAAATTTAGTTCCAACTACATATTTCTTTGGTAAACATATTTCTTTGCACAATTGTTCCCGACACATCAAAATCTCGCATTGCAACATTTCTGTGTGTAACTATACTCTACACTTTTTAAATTTTGCAACTTTTAATCTTTTGGCTGCTGGTATTTGTTCTTTATTATTATTTTGCTGAGGTTGCTTAGCATTGTTATGCAATTGTTAGGCAATTGAGTAATTGGCTTAATTAGTAAAAAGATTCTATGTTGTGCATTAGGCTTAGCAACTTTCATGGTTTCCTTTGTTGCTTTTTTTTCATCTTTTTGTTGAGGAACTCGATCACATTTTCTTTGGTAATACATTTTCTGCCAAGTTTGTCATGTTGCACTGCTTTGATTTCTTAACATGCGATTCATTTCTGGCTTGAAAAAACTCAACTCTCAATACTGTTTTTGCATTGCACAACACATGCTTGATACCTATCAAAACTTGAAGCTGGTGTAGTTGAGAAAGATGGTAATCGGTGTGTAGTTGGAGTAGGTGCTGCGGCAGCTTTTGAAGATGATGAAGCTGTGTCTGAGCAGGATGGTGTAGGTGCTGCGGAGGCTACTAAAGTTGACGAAGGAGGAATAAATATTTGTGTGATTGCTAATGCCTTATGATTTATGTTGTTTTTAAATAAGCTAATGTACTGGAAACCAAGCTAGTGTACTGGAAATTGCATGTAATCGTGTAAAACATTTGCCACTCTCATACAGTAGTTTGAGCAATGGTGGAAAGTTTTGTTTATCTAAATTCTTACATTTTGAGTCTTTGTAATACTTTGTAAGAATTTCTTTCCATACTTGTTTGACATGACAATATATACTTCTATAGAATGGTTGTAGAATATGTGAAGAATGCTCTGGTAGACTAATCAAGATTATACTGTGTTTTTTGCATAGCAATACCACTTCCAAAGTTATGTGAGTTGTATGCCTATCTAATACTAAAATATGAATACAATCATTTTGCTAAGTTTCGGGTATAAATACTTCCTTCAGCCATTCAATAAACGTATCGTGCTCCATCCACCCTGATTTTGAAATTGAATATTTGATGCCAACTGGACCATCTCTTGCCCAGTCAGGACAAAAGTTTCTTTTGGCTTTGTATCACAAATGGTGGTGCAAAATGCTCATCAGTGCTGCAGCAATTGTTTACAGTATAATGAACTTTTTCATTGTTGCCAGTAAGTTCAAATGCAAGTCTTATTCATTTTCGACATACTATGGTTGCTTTGCTTTAATCACCCGAAAAACCTGTTTCATCACAATTCCAAATAAGCGATCCAGAAGTTATACCGGTTTGTTGATATTGCTTGGCAACACATTCAAAATAACAATCAATTATTTCTGGCGTACAAGAAGTGGCTCTTTTAGATGCTAAGTTATCTGCTTTTCTTGTTGAAATTTCTTTTGACTATCTCTTCATAAAGGTATAAAACCAGTCTTTACCAGGTTTGCCATTTTTGAATAAGTGCAATTGATCTTCGCGCTTAAGGTAGCCACATACAAATTCTAGGATTTCATTTTGGATTAAACCATAACCTTAGTCACCAAGTAATTGGAACGCATGCATCATCAATCTTTCTGTTTCATTTGAGAGTATTATTGTTGTACCTGAGCCATGGAAGCTTTTGTTGTTTTTATTTTTGCAATCTTTGAGCGTTGAGACTGGAATGCCATGTTTGAATGCAGCTTTTCTCAGTGATGTTTTAATTTCTTTCATACCAGTTTGTATGTTTTGTTTTTTTAGTTGACATGTTAAAGTGAGTGAGTTAAATTGAATTGAGTGAGTGATGATTATATTGAGAAATAGCAAATAAATGGTTTTTAATGACTAAGAGATGATTATATTACCAAATAACATTACAGTTCATTTTTAATTAAATTGGAATTAACACTAAGTTAATTAGATAAAGATAGGCGCTTAGTCACTTGCGAAAAACTTAACTAAGTAATTAATCGAGTGTGCGGTTTTTATCAGAAAAAAAAGTTTTTTTTACTTTGTTGATTTTTTATTTAACTTTTTATTCTAGCTGCATAAAAATTATACTATCAGAATTAAAATTAAATTTCCAACAAGATAGTGCTAAAAAAAATTTTATATCAGTTTCGGTTCAAGCGCTATTTTGTTCGCAACAATAAAAAATATATAAAAAAAATAGTTTTATCAGTTTGAGTAGAGGAGATAGTTCTGTATTTGAATCTATTTTTTTTTTTTTTTTTTTTTCATAGCCATATCCGTTTAGCTTTTATTTGATAATTTTGATCAGCGTGCGAAATGATATGGTGTGCAGTTTGACCCGGTTTTACTCTATAACAATAAAAAAATATCTCTTATTAGGTATAAAGTGTCTAAAAAAGTTCTTATGAACATATTGCATTATATTTTGTATATCTTTTATATTATATTTTTAAATATTAATTTATCTTGTATCAGTTAAACACAAAGTTTTCTTTGTCTAATTAATTCAATATAAAATATGAAAATTTACAATAATAAATTATAAACTTACATCGAGTTAGGTGTCACTCGTGTAATTAAAAACTTGATAATGAGTGGCAATTTAAAAAATTAAATAAAACATAGAGAAAATTTAACAAAAAATAAATTAAAAAAAAGAATAAAAGAGAAAAATTCCTCTTGGTTGTAAAAAAAGGTCACCCTGCAATTCAAATTACGTTTCGTCATTTACTCAATCTTATTACTGCTACTACTAATGTGTGTGGCTTTCCTGCAAATCATTTAAAACTTTTATAGATTAGAAGTGTTTAGAACTTTAGAACATTTTGGAAAATAACAGAAGATTTTAGAAGACTTTAGAACATTCTAGAACAATTTAAAATATTTTGGAAAATTCTATAACAATTTTGAACATTCTGGAATATTCTAGAACATTTTAGACTATATATAGCTGCTCATCTAATTTTATAGTTATTATAGAAACAACATATGGCGTCGTACAAGCCTAGCGATAGTAGCATTCAGAAGAAAAAGGATGTTTGGACCAATAATCTGGTAAAATTTGAAGAACTTCGTAAATAAAAAATGATTCCTGGAAGACTGGAAGAAAAGTGCAGAATGCCTCTCCAAAAGCAAATTATTGGACACTACCATTCCTTGGACCAAAACTAAAAGTAAGAAAAGAGCTAATAGCGGAAATTTCCAAAGAAGTCAACATATTGTGGAAAAATAAACTGAATTTTCCTCAGGTATTTGATCAAGTTTTACGAGCAAAGCTTTATAAAATACTGAAATGTTATGATGAATGTGTCAAGCGGGGAAGCTACAAACCTCTTGATGAAATTTTTGATATTACTAAAGTGGATGGAACATGGTTACCTTCCGAGGACAAGCGATTGTACCATCTCCAAGTGGAAAGCAAAGGAACAGTGGGATACTCTACAGGCCAAACGGCTAGTAAAGAAACGATCCATCTCTCTAAAAGACAAAAACTTTCTAATGAGTCATCCAACTCATCATCTTACTATCCTGGTTTTAGTGGTTCTGACTCTGAGGTTGACAACAGTGAATATGAAAAGGACAAAGAAGATGAGACAACTCCTACACCATTCAGAAAACATCATAAAAGCAAAATTGCAGTCAACTTGGGGACCTCCACAAGGGTATCAAAAAACAAAGCTGATAACATATGCAAGCAATTGGCTCGTGAAAGCATTGAAATATCAACTCCATGTCAATCAGCTATTTACAAGTTAACAATTAAAGAGGCAATGAAGCTGAAGAAAGGATTGATTGAAAAGTTGCATTTGGAAAGTTGGTCCTTACACTTTGATGGCATCGACAGAATGGACTATCAAGTGGTCGTCCTTGAAAATGAAAGAAAAGAAATCAAATTGGATTTCCTTGGCTTGGTGGATGGCAGGGCTTTAACTGCTGCTCAAGGAATTTCTAAAGTCCTCAATGAATTTCACCTATGGAATTCAATACAGATGATAATTCAGATACAGATACAGATGGTTGTTGCAGATGCCACCAAGGTTAACACTGGGGAAAAAAATGTTGTTTTTGTAATATTGCAATGAATGTTCACAGAAAAACGCATCAACAAATCAGTTTATCAGTTGTCAAAACCATGTATTAGATAAAATCCTCTGTTTAGTGATGGATGAAGAACTTGGAAGTAAAACACAATCGACAAACATTGAATATTCATTTGTCAACTGTTGAAGGAGTACGAACAACTGAAAACACAGTTCGATAACTGAACAGTAATTCTTAAAGCATCAGGCTAGAGAGATGATATGAAATTTTTGTTTTATCTTACTCAAGTGTTCCGATTTTTTGAGGAAAAGGGACATTTTCCATTGATTAGGTTTCAAAAAATACCCAACCAGC